TTGAAACATGTGAGTTGACATGTTCTTCACTTTTGCTTTCAATTTAAGTATTCAGAATTCCATACACTGCAGAGGCAGGAGCAAACCTAAACTCATTTCAGATAAACACGTACCATACTACTCTAATCCATAGTGTACTGCGAAAACAACTCAAACAATACATGTCTTTTCTACTACTTCAGAGAAAAGAACATTGTATAATATCATCTAAATTTTGTCAAAAAAAAGTAATAGGCTATGTTGCTGCACCATACAGATAAAGTAACACCCTGCTCTGCTATGTTGCTTCTTCGGTTGGGCTCCAAAGCAATAATGATGCTATACATATAATACTCATAGATGTATTGATTCTTCAGTTGAGCTGCAACTGTTGGCTACTTCAGGTGTGGGTGCGGAGCAATTTTTTATAGCAGCAGCTGCATTAGCAAATTAATATAGTGTCTTCCTAAGTAATTTTTTATTGCAATGGATTTTTAGTCTACTGGATGTAGTTTTAAAAGGGTTTCAATGTAGCATGGCACTTATTCTTGTTTTTAAATCTCTAGGTGTCATGGATCGTAGCAACGACATGCAACAAGTTCGGAGGTCCCTGGAAGAGGGGGAGGAGATGGTTAGCAAACAGAAGGCGGACCGGCACGATCTGGATTTAGATATACAGCTTGAACGTGCCCAAGCTGAAATCAGGAGGAGAGAACAACGATGTAAATATGACAACTACATATCACTTCAGCGTGCCGAGCTGGACAAAGCGATAGAGACTAAGCATTCTGAATTGGCCAAAAGAGTGCGGACAGAACAGATTGCCCTGCTAAACAAAGCATTAACTGATCAGCATGCCACCTATACCCAGAAGATAGAGCAGGAGCGTGCTCTCTCAAATGATGCCTTACAAAAGGTAATGTTTAAGTGTGTTCACTGTTCTGCATTATTCTTTTATCTTAATTAATAGGTAGAGTAGCATTAATCGCTATCCATTTTCTTTTTTTTCCATGTTAATACAACACTTGTACAAGCATAACATGATTTCGTACTTTGATGTAGCATACTTTTTAAGTCTACTGGATGTAGTTTTAAAAGGAATTGAATTTAGCATGCCACTTATTCTTGTTTCTTACAAAAGGCCCGTGAAGAAAATGATGCCAATATAAAGAAATAGAAACAATGCTTTGAGTCCATGATTGAGCAGGCAAGGGCACAATTGACAACATTGGAGAATGAACGCTTAAAGATGAAGACCCTCATTGAGTCCTTCATCCAACGAGAGGAGGTCCGTGCCAACATGAATATAGAGGTAACTACGGTACTCTTTTAATTTATATTATATATATAACCATATGAACGCCCCCCTTGTTTGCACTTTCAGGTAGAAGATATGATATGTATACCACGGAGATACATGTGTGTAATAACTAATAACGAGTGTGGCCCTGTATATGAATTTTTCATATAATTTTGGTTACTCGTTGATTTGAAATGATTCTTATTCGTCTAATCTATACATGCAGCATGTGGTAATGCACTTTAAGATTCACTCCGTGAAGGAAATTTATTCGGATCTACAGAAGTACTACGACAGTCGAGAACAATTGGGCGAGTTTGCAATTACAGAGCCAGCCACCGTTGAGTATTACATTCTGTCACAGCATTTGACAGCTTATTTTGGATACAAAGGAGACGCACAGTTGTACTACCTGAATCCTGTTCATGGGAGTGAGCCATCAACTGCATTGGTAAAGATTGACAGACAAGAAGATGTAGACAAAATGGTGGATGCACATGCTCATGAAAGGACAAAGATTTGTCATCTGTACATAGTGAACGGAGTTGGATTTTATGATGAGGACGGCCGTCCATGGCAGCCTGATGACGAAGGCCATCCATGGCAGCCTTATGAGGAGGACCGTCTATCGGGCAGCGCTGATGAGGAAGCTCAACAAGACGACACGTCTCCTGTGATGAAGAAACGACGCGCTGATGAGGAAGCTCAACAAGACGACATGTCTCATGCGATGAACAAACATGCTTCTTAGCTATTGGATAGTTGGAGTTTGGTCTTTTACTTGGTCACTTCTTCTTGGTCGATTGGACACTTGTTCTATTAGTGTTGCAAGCTGCTACATTTCTGAAAACTGAATGCACTTGTTCTTGGTCTTTTATTTGGACACTTGGTCTATTAGTGTTGCAAGCTGCTACTTTTCTGAAAACTGAATGCAAGTTACTGTGATTGTGCAAGATGATATTTTTTCCGAAAAGTAAATTGCAGTGGCTTGTCTTTTGTCTATTTTACTTCTAATTAGAATGTTCTGACTAGATGACTTGGTAACTGAATGTACTATGATCTGTGCTCTGGCCGATGTAGGTGTCATTTGCTTTCAATGCGAGTGGGTACTGAAAAAGAATCTCTAAAGTTCACCAAAATATTGACCTGGTGAACTTGAAGTATTGAGCCTCCAAAGTAGAGAGGGACTAGTGTATTGACTGCCTGACTGCTGGCTGGGTCACATTCAATATTCTGGTGATCAAAGGAATAAAATCCTTGCAACAAATCAAGAGTTGGAGTGCAACTGCTACCTTTCAGGTGAAAAAAAATGTATCAGCCATTGTAGTTGCAGCGAGCGACTTGTCAGCAATGGCTGATACCAAAGTTTATTTTCTTTTATCAGCATCTAGTACTGTACCATTTTCTGAAAAAAAATGTTATGTTCGTGTTTCCTTTGATCAGCATGTAGCATCATTTTTTTTCTGAAAAATGTTGTGTTCATGTTTCTCAACTCTCAAGTCTTGACCATGACACATCTGACAACTGAAAGTCTGAAACCTTTGCACGTTGCATGTTTCCTTTGTCTCTGAAAACAATCTGATTGTTCTGAAGTGGAGTTGCAGAAATACACTGCAGTATCTGATTGGTATTGCAGCAATGCATTTCTGAAGCAACCATTGGCTTTTTCTGAACTACTACTGTAGCCAACAAGCAGTTGTCTTTCAAACAAATTTATTCTAGTATGATTTTCTGAAAAATGTTTATGTCCATGTTTTCTTTTATCAGCATCTAGTACTGTACCATTTTCTGAAAAACGTTGTGTTTATGTTTCTCAAGTCTCACCATGACACATCTATCTGACAACTGAAAGTCTGAAACCTTGCGCATTGCAGTTGCAGCTTCTCTGTCAGATCCCGTGCCAGGACATGATCCCCTTCGAGGAGACGAAGCCGCTGCTCCACACCGGCGGCCAGAGCAGCAGCAGGCGGGAGGACGACCAGGAGCCACCTCCACGCACAGCGGTGGCTCTCGCCATCGAGCTCCCCACGCACTACGACAGCGCATCAGAGTTCGGTTCTTCCGGTGCCACCCCGACGGCGGCCACTCGTGTGCTCTCGTTCGGCGACGGTGATGGCGACGCCAAGAGCCCGGCCTCCGGCGTCGACCCACTGGTGTTCGTCGACCCCGACGACGACGATGCCTTCTGCCCGGAGCCTCTGGCGGTGGTGCCGCCGACCCCGTTCTTTGGCCTGGACGAGGAGGAGTACGTGCACTTCGGGTCGGCGATGCACCAGGGCGTTCGCTTCGACGACCTCACGCCGGAGACGCTCGACTTCTTCGGCCTCCCCCCGTCGGCCCAGCCGTAGAGTGACTGGTGGCACACTGGTACTTGCTCTCAGTTTTTGAAGAGAGTACTACCGCCCCAATGTGCGTGTTGTTCTGCCTGATTTGTAAGTAACGTTGTTTAACCTGCACACGGTCTATGTATGAATGAACCATGCTAATGTTCAGTATTTCAGTCCGATGTAGTATGAACTAGTAGGAGTGCCAGACTTTTGTTCAGTGTTTTCAGTCCATCCTGTTAATCTGTGAGTTGTTGCTTCAGCATTTCTTAAGAAGAGTATCATTTATTGAGCAGTGAGCGCAACGTCACACATTATGCATGTCTTCATCCAAAACTAACAGGTTGTAAATTACAGTAGGTTAAAATAATAATAATATACTAAGAGTAGTTTGGAACCTTATTGGAATAACAGAAGAGGTAGATAAAAAAATGTATCAGCCATTGTAGTTGCAGCGAGCGATTTGTGAGCAACACGATCTTCAGAGATAATAACTTTGGTATCACAAGTCGATGTGTCCATGACATGGTCTGCAGACTCGGTTGTCTCACAAATTTTAACAGAAGAAACCAATTCTTCCAGCTCAAGCAATTGTTTCAAGTCTGTGGTGTCACGGACGGCGATTTCATATCCTTGCTTCCATGCAGCTAGAGCATCCTCTTTTTTTATCTAATGAAGACAGTGCCTTGCCTGGTAACAGAAAACAACAGCGTTAAACTTACAGGTGAAACTTGCTTCAGAATAATCTCCACAATACAGGGATAGATCGCTATCTAGGTAAGTACAGATCCTCTTCAGAATAAAAGGGCGTACTCATGTCATTCACAGTGCATCTACACACTATCTGGAAAGAGTAATCCCAAGCATTGAAGCCCCTCAAAACGGTATTCCTGAGCTAACAACACAGAATTTACAACTCTTCTTAAATAAAAGTACACATGCAGCAGACTAGTACGCAGCCAAACAGAGACTAAGCGAGGCAGACATAATTCTCCACAACCAAGACAAGGCAACCCAACCCCTGGCGAACTAAGCCAAGCCGCAGAGGAACAGAACGCTGAGATGAATAGGGGAGGGGAGCAGTTATAGGCGAAAGGTATTTGACACAGAAGAAATGCTTAATTGACTGATATGCTACAGCTAGAGATTGGAACTGGTACGACATACAATGCTCCTGACTCCATTGAATCCTGACTAATAGCCATACCAATATATGGAACTAGAAGTAGTTTTGGAGCCAGTAAGCAACCCAGCATTCTGAGCTTTGGCATGGATGATGAGTAGCTGCTACCCTATCAAGGTAAATTTGCAGTTTGAAAGCACCATATTGTGTATCACTTTAAATGAGTTATGCAGCAGCGTACCTATTGTGCAACAGCAAGCGGATTCTTGGCAAATCATATATCCAGCACATCTTCAGGGAGCTTTGTTTTCTATAATAGAAGAGTAACATTAGCCATAGCTAGACAATCCTCACAGATAGGTAGTTGTTAGCTTTGGTGAACATTACTCTTAACTACCTCTTCTCTCATGGAGCATGTTCGCCGATTGTGACCTTCACCCTTACACAGGGTACATTTCACCTTAGATCTCTTCTTATTTGAAACTGATTTCAACTTTTTCTTCGGGGCCCCTCTGCCAGGAACATGCATGGGATCCAAGACATTTCTGGACTCTGCAGAATCAACATCTAGGCATTGCGGCAGCACCGGACCATACCTCTTGTCTCCGTTCTCTCCTCCGTTTGGCAGGATCATAGCAGTTTCCTCATGCAGAACACGTTTCAGCCGCTCATATGCTTCAGGTGAACGAGATGCTACAAAGGATGCAGTGTGACTGATATAGCGTAGCTCATGGTACCTCTGTAGGCTATTGGAATAGTCATACATGGTGCTCTTCCTTATAGGAGGAAATGCACTCTTGGCCCCCCTTGTCCACCTTTTCAAAACACAGCAACCTGGAAGCACGTGTTCTTTGCGATATCCCAATACAAAGAAGATGTGCGAGCAGGGGTTCCAAGGGACTGCAACTTAAGACAAGAACAAGAAATTCCCTTCAGATTGCCTTCATCAACACATATCTCACATTCCACATGGTATTCTCTGTCTCCTTTATCCTCCCTGCCAACAATATACTTAATCGCATCATAGTCATCTAGAATCTCTCTCGCAAAACACTTTTTGGTTGCTTTTATGCTGAACTGCACCGTGGCAAAAATTCTTGGTGTGAACGATTTCGCAGCCTCTTTCTCAATAATTGAAGCATCTGGTTCTAAGCATGGCAAAGAATTCGATGCTTCAAAGTCCAGATTCGCTTCATTACTGCGCAGCCACGAAAGGCAGTGGTCAAAGTGCCCAACCAGCTCGAACAATGTCATTTTACGATCTAGATTTACCTGAAGCCTAGAGTTTAGGCTCTCACTCCGCTGGTTGCTCCTCAGTCCTAAATAGCACTTATCAGCATGGTACGCAGCACACTAGATTTCCCTCCTCTCATACATCTGATATAGCCATGACTCCTTTTCTGTAACGTTATGCTTATCCAAGAATTCCAGCCATTTCCTCTCAATCTCTTCTATGGAGCAACAATCATAAAGGAAATACCTGAAATCAGCCTTCACACCATCATTGTGAAGATTACGCACAATGTTCTGCTCAATATGCCATATGCATAGCCTATGCGATGAATTCAGCCACACCAGCCCGATTACTCTCTGCATAGTAAGGTCTCCATCAGTGATCACGGAAACAGGTTGCTTCTGAACCATGGCATCAGAGAATGTCCTAAGAATCCACACATATGACTCAATTGTCTCCTGGGAAAGAATTCCACATGCAAAAAGAACTGTGCTGCCATGGTGTTTCACCCCAACAAAAGGAACAAGGGGCAGGTTGTACCAATTCATTTTGTACGTGCTATCAAATACAATGACATCACCAAATGCTGCATAATCAAGCCGACATTGACTATCACACCAGAGCAGTCCTTTGAGGTGCCCTTTCCCATCAGTCTTGTAGTCAAAGAAGAAATCAGGATCCCTACGTCTGCACTCTGTCAGGTAACTGATGACTGTTTGAGCATCACCAGCAGCAACTGTCTCCACCTTATTGCGATGACAGAAATTATACAAGTCCCTTGTTGTAAATCCAACCTTATCATACCCACCATACTGCATTTCCATAATATCCATTATCTGGTGTTTGCGGATCCTAGAAATCTGCATCGCCACAATATCAGCTTTTTGCTCATCACTAATTCTTCTATGTGAACGCAGAAGACAAGCAAGGTCTCGTTCCGCCATTGGATGGTTGTGTTCATAGATGAAATCCTTCACATACCACAACCCTATGTTCTGATCCCAAGCAATCACAAATTTAGCAGGGCATCCAACACGAGTAATATTCCGTGGCTTCCGCTTCTTAATCTCCCTCTTCAGCTCCTTCTCTTCGCGGAAACCTTCACAACTGCAAACAAACTTCCGAAGGGTCCTCTCATTGTGGCCGTTGCCCCACCCACAATAACTTTTCCTAACACTAAATCCTTTCCCCTTAGCGTATTTGTTATAAAACAGATATCCTTATGTTTCACTACCAAATTTCTTCCCAACAATTTCATTGTACTCCAGCAAAGAATGAAGATCCAACATTTCCTCTTGCATCAATCAACGACATTTGAGAAAAGTCTGAAGGAATAGTTCTGTAAAGGCACGATTTCATGCTACATTTTGACATACAAGTCACTCAGTTGCTCTACCTAGTAGTGTTGATGGTGAAGTGCCTAAACATAGCAAACAAAGTACTCGAAAAAAAATTATAACTAGCAGCAGCAAGCATCCATATGGCAATATCAAAAAATATGCAGGACTACAGTATGACAACGCGTTCATGTTCATAGACATCTTTTTTTTCACAAGGAAAGCCAATGGAGGAGCCTCCCAGTGCCAAGGCAAGGGTTTGAACCCGGGATGCTGGTTTCAGGGCTGGCTCAAGGAACCACCCGGAATAATAGCCCTACTGTTCATACATTATCCACTAGGCTAAAAAAGGGTTTAGCCGCTGTAAAGGATATGCGGACATTTTTAATCATTCTCCAAGGACCAGAGTATCAGACTTTGTTCCAATAAGTGTGGCCATCTACCAATACAAGATAAAATTTGGAATTAAAGGGGACAAAAATCCCTTTGATATGACCACAAGTATTCATGGTAAAGGAAAGCTCATAGTAACACTCAACATGTAGGTATTTGCTAATGCAGCTGCTGCTATAAAAAATTGCTCCGCACCCACACCTCAAGTAGCCAACAGTTGCAACCAGCAGTTGCAGCTCAACTGAAGAATCAATACATCTATGAGTATTATATGATTCGCTTCATTATTGGTTTGGAGCCAAACTGAAGAAGCAACATAGCAGAGCGGGTTGTTACTTTATCTGTATGGTACAGCAACATAGCCTATTACTTTTTTTTGACAAAATTTAGATGATATTATACAATGTTCTTTTCTCTGAAGAGTACAAAATACATGTATTGTTTGAGTTGTTTTCGCAGTACACTTTGGATTAGAGTAGTATGGTATGTGTTTATCTAAAATGAGTTTAGGTTTGCTCCTGCCTCTGTAGTGTTTGGAATTCTGAATACTTAAATTGAAAGCAAAAGTGAAGAACATGTTTCAAATTAGAGATATACTAGGCTGAGAACAACTGCACCGACGGATTGCTCACCTCGCTGCGAAGGTCGTTGAGGCTTCTAGACGCCGGTGACGCGGTGAAGGCGGAGATCAGCGGCGACGGCGGGTAGAGATCCGGGTGGTGGCTATGGCGGTGCGCGGGCTAGGGCTAGGGCACGGGGCGGCTCCTGTAGGGTTCAAAGGGGGCGGCGCGGTGCTCTAGGCCTAATCTGCATATGCACGGGCACGGGGAACCTTGGGGGGGGGGCGCGTGTGCGGGAATCGGGTGGCGATGGATTCAGCCGGTCGATGCGGCGCTGCGGGGAAGGGACCGGGTCGCTGACGTGTGCGCCCGGCCGCGGTTGCTGGGCCTATCGGCCTGCGCGCGCACACGATGAATCGAGGAGGGGGAGCGGGCGGCGGCTTGGCCTGCCCATCACGTGGTCGTGGCCCAACTAAGCCACGTGAATGCGGCAGTCAGCCATCTGCATCCGGTTTAGTCCCACCTCGCTCGCTGAGCAGCTAAGAGCGCAGCATAAAAGAACTGGAGAAGAACCCGGGATCAAACTCCTAAACTGTACAATGCCTACTCTCACTCGTCATCTAGGCCAATCGGGCTGGCACGGCCTAGTTGGGCTCCGTCCGTGGTCGAGCCCGACCTAGCTGATGCTGGCCCGTGGCAACAAATTTTTTTTGCCACCATTTATTTTAAAATTTATTTTTTTATATCTGCCGCTAGGGAGGCTGTCACCATTCATATCCAATTTCTATGTATTGTATTTATTTTTCACCCTCCACATTATTTTCCTCATACATAATCCATGCTAATTTTATTGAGTTAAACTACTAATTGCTAGTAAAAAGCCAGAACTTAAAATAATGAAAAACTCACGATCACACTTTTAAAAACACGTGGCTACAGTCATCGGTTCAAATTACTATCATGTTGGCCTATTAGTGCACTCGGACGACACGTGCGAGTGGCGGCTTAGTTCCTATCATGTTATGCCTAGTGGTTCATCACTCTGGCAAGGAATGAGAATGACCGGTTAACTTCATATCATGTTAGGTCTAGTAGTACACTTGGAGTACATGTAAGAGTGATCGGTTCGCTTCCTTTCAGGTTCGGCCTATTGGTCCACTCGGACTAGCCCCGGAGATTGTAGGTTGAGTTGCTATCATGTTACGGCTAGTGGTTCATCACTCTGGCGAGGAATGAGAGTGATCGGTTCACTTGCTATCATGTCAGCTAGACGGTCAGCGTCGAACACGTATCGTGAAGCTGCGAGCAACGCAGAACGCAGAGAATCGTTGTGAATCGCTCGCGTCGTCTACTAGCCATCCGATGCCATTGAGCTATTCTCCCTTGCCGTTGATGCATTCAAGATCCGCTTCACCCAAGCTTCGAATGCTCAAGACCCATGAAAAGGTGACGAAAGCAGCGAAGCGTTGTCCTCCAGACCATGCATCGGTGATGTAAGCTCCAGCAACGACCAGCGGCAACAAACTACTACTACTTGTTAGTGCTAAATAAAAAAAATGACGCATTGGCGTGGCGGCGGGCTCGGTTCAGAAATGCCGGTGATCGATGAGGACTCGCCAGGCACCGCGTTGACTCGGCGGCAGGCTCGGCCACCACCACATGCATGCCGCTCATGGGCCGCTCGTCTTGGGCCTCCTGTCTCCCCTTGCGGGCTTACATGGGCCACGCGGCTTAGCGGTAGGTTGCTCTTCGTTTGGAAACTCTCGTCTAGAGAACGTGGCCTCCATAATTGTAGGATCGCAGTTGCTCTTTCCTGTAGGATCGCAGTTGCTCATTCCTGATCGCAGGAACCCTACAACATCCTTCACAAACCGCATCCTCTCTCTACTTTCTCATCTCTTTTTTATCGTTTCATCTCGCCAGCAATGGCTACGGCAGAAGATAGAGGCCAGCCGAGTAATCCATCGTCTGGAATTGGCACTATGGATACAGCGGCAGATGGAGGCCAGCCCCGTACTCCGATTGCAATCGGCAACTGGGTTCAAAATGAGGCAAAGATTACAGGTAAATGATGCATCCCTACTTCAGTGATTAGATGTATGAATTCGTGTCACTTCTAAGATTGCCCTGTTATTTTCCAACCAATCACTAATGTGCTACATATGAAATCATTCCTATCTAAATAGACTATTCAAGAAAAACATTTCATAGCCCCTTCTCTTTTCTGGTTCACTTAACGTATTCTTCTGGAAGTCAGAAAGTAACATGCAGAACCTGGCATCATTTCTCCAGAAGTCCTTGAGAATAGATTCAACCTGAAGAAATTGAGTAATAAAATGCTTAGTGATCTGCTTCCAAAGCTTGCATTTCCCTTTTGAACTCAAGAAGCCACAAACCATACCTCTGTAGGCAATAGATGCTTTCTTTCCTGATGATGCTACCATCTCTTTAATTGCATCATCAGAAAGGCGTCTAACTTCATTGATTGATCCTTTTGACACCATTCCAGGTGAAGTGGTGAGTGCATCCAGTGCTTAAGAGAACTAGTTACAGTATTCTCCTTGTATGTGAGATTTTAAATCTTGGAATTTATGTATAATAAATGGATAAAGCAGAACGTAGTAAAGTAGTTTGTTAGAATGTGGTTGTACAGGAAAAGGTTACCAAAGTGTATTGTGTCCTCATGATCAACAAAATGATCAGCTTTTGCCCCACTAGCTTTTGCAATAACAGACTTAACTCCAGGTAGCTTAGTCTGCAAGTTCACACCATTAGCTAACCATATTACCAAAGAAAACAAAGCATGTAACCGTGAAAAGAAAAATCCATCAAAACAGTCCTAGAAGCATAAAACTGCTTACCTTTATTAGTCCTGTTCCAGTGACGTGATCAGCATGTACATGAGTATTCATAGCATACACAACATTTAAGCCCAATTCCTTGATAAGATTAAGATCTCTGTCAACTGTTCTGTCGACAGGGTCAATCAGCTGATCACACAGAATCAAACATATCAGATGGAATCATGGTATTGGACCAAATGTTTATATATATTATTATTTATACATCAATCAAGCATGGATAACATTACTGTAGCTCAAAACTTGGTCAATAATTGATTCTGCTTTAGTTAATTACTTATGTAGTGTATCCTATGCCAAGTGTTGAAATTTTGGTTCGCACTGTTTGATAGACAAAGTGACAAACCCACATGCTGGTCAGAAATTTTCAATGTAATATTCAATTAAAGGAAAAGGAGAGAAAAAAAAATTCTCCCTTAGTTTGCTTCAGTCAATACAATCCTGAAATTCCAGACGATTTAAAGCATGGCTTCAAGTTCTAATATGGGAACCCTCAATACTGGTCAGATGCAAACGTGATTGATAAGCAGTTTGAACTCCAACTACTACAAAATTACTGAATCGACGCAATCCAATTGAACAAACTGAAATCACTTCCATAACTTATATAAGTGCAGATTCTGAATTGACGAATTACAATCGGTCTCACTGATTGTAACATACTCATGAGAGGTATAAGAATCACCACGGTGTGTATTGCTTTGTTACAGTAAATTACCACCAAATCAACTGCTGATAATAGTGGAACTGCTACTGCTCGGCTGCTGTTCCTTGGCTGCTACTGCTACTGCTCGGCTGCTGTTGCATTGCTGCTATCCGTGAAAATAAAAACACAGGATCAGTGACAATCTATCACCAGATTACAATTGCAGCATTCATTGTTAATCAGCAAAGTAATAACTACTTCTCTTGGCAACTTTAACATTTCTTATTCACATAATTTGATGCAGGTGCCAATGGTACAACGGGTAGTACTACAAAAGAGCGAGGTGACAACAACGATCAGGTAATCTCCATATCCAGTTGCAGTTTTTGTGTAAGTTGCCTCTATATTTTTAGCAACTTATCAATGACCAACTGGTTGCTGCAGACTGCGTCTTTTCATTTAACACACTCACCTACAAGATTTGAAAAAGTCGTACATGGTTTATCGGAAGAACACAAGGCTGCTGTTAAGGATATGGGATTTGGGGGGCTGCTTTGTATGCCAAAGATGAGTATCAGGAAAGTAATGATAAAGGACGTTGCACAAACATACCAAGTCAGCAACCAATGTTTCAAAATATGTGATCAAGATATTACTATTTATCCAGAGGATGTCAGAGACATATTGGGACTGGGAATTGAAGGCGCTGATGTAGACGAATATGTAGAGCAAACAAAGACCAGGGAACAGAAAACTGTGGAAACTCAATTGTTTAAGAGGTATGCCGATGCAAACCACAAGCTTGAGTTAAGGAATTTGGAAAGCATGATTCGTGACTCAAAAACTCCGGATGATGACTTTAAAAGAGCATTTGTCTTGTTCACAATTGGCGTCATTCTAGCACCAAATACACAGCACCATGTCAATTATAGTTATATACAAGCTGTTGAACATGTATCACTCATTCGGAAATTTAATT